TAAGGTGAACGCAGGCCAGATCTCGAAGAGCAAAAAGGATCACCGAAAACATAAAAAGCAGAGAAAGCCTTTGCCAAACCCCCAGCACACTCAGAATGCAGAAAGATGTTCTTCCAGCCAAGAAGATAGTGATCCAAGTACAGTGGTGCCCCGCATAGCGACATTAATCCGTTCCAAGATTAACATCGCTATCCGGAATGTCGCTAAACGGAAAGAAAAACCCCATAGGAACACATTAAACTCCGTTTAATGCGTTCTTATGGGGGGGGAACTCAAAGTTGAGCGAAGATCCTCCATAGCGCCGCCATTTTCGTTGCCTCGGTAAGCGAGGGCAGCGTGCGAAAACGCTGCAGGCGGCCATTTTGTGCACCCAGTGACCATTTTGAAACCACCGATCAGCTGTTTAAAAAAACATTGCAATGCGAAGATCGGTAAGCAAAACGCTTACTGATCATTGCAACGCGATTTTCATCCATTTAGATCATCGCAATGCGATCGCATTAGCGATTGCAAAAAACGCATCACTATGCGAATTTGTCGTTAAACGGTGCGCTCGTTATGCGAGGCACCACTGTACTCCCTGGCACATAGGCCATTAGGCTACCAAACTGCCAGTCCCACTGGCTCTAGTGCACATGGAAGAAAAGGAAAACACCATCACTCCTCCACTAAGAACCCATTCAGAAAGCATCAAAGCAGATTAGAAAAGGACAGCACCTCCACAGAACAGAGCGCTTGTAGGCTGTGAGCGCAATATGCGAAAAGTAAGAAAGCAATCCCCTTCCCTGGCCCACACACAGTGCCACTGAAGAGCACAAAAATAAACGCACCTTTTGTAAAAGAATAAATCATAGTAAAGACACAGGAAAATACTATCAACCATCTAGGAGTGTGAACGACAGATCTGGAAAGAACACAACCCCTGAAAAAACGTCAGTCAGGGGAAAAAAGTAGTACAGGAATATATCGTAAAATATTGAAGCAATCCAACTTTAAACAGTAGGAATCAAATGATGATTCAGTGACCAAGCAATTCAGCCTCCAAGTGATTTAAGCAAGGAGGACCCTGAAGAAGGCAATAGGAGGGAAAAAAAGTAAAACAGTAAATATATGTATATAATCAGACAGACACCTTCAATTCTCTCTCCCAACCCTGTTCCTAAAAACAGAAATATATAAAAAAAAACAAGGGCAGGAAATACGATCAAATCAACCCCTGCAACCTAACGCCTGGAATGTGTGACTGGGGATTTTATTCCCCACCACAACTACAACCGCTTTGATAAATGATGATGCCTCAGCAAGACATCCAGGGTAACAGAGGCATGCGTGGCACAAATTTCCCAACAACGACAATAACAAAAGACAGGCTAGAAATGGACATTGTTTTGTGTGTGGTTGTTAAAGGATAAGTCCAATCCCAAACTAAAGACATGGCAAAACAGATGACAAGCATGGTAAAGAGGAATAAAGGAATAAAAACAAACCAAAGGCATTGGAGAAAAATAAGCAGATAATGATAATCCAATTCAAAATGGAGGCAGATGGCCAGGCAGCCCATTTGCTCAGCATACAACTAAAACCCTCAGGGATTAAGCAACAGCAAAGCACCCCCATTGCTATGTTTGAGTATCTGTCAAAGATTCAAACCTCCCTCCCCATTCCTCCACTGTATTCTGATTGGCAGCTTGATATT